CTGTTGATGCATCCAAGATAGAGGCAGTGCAGGATTGGGCACAGCCTAAGAGTGTTTTTGAGATCCGCAGTTTTCTGGGATTAGCTGGGTATTACTGCCGGTTTTTGAAAGATTTCTCCAGGCTAGCTTCACCGTTGACTAGATTGATGCGGAAAAGGGTCAAATTTGTGTGGAGTGAGACTTATGAAAAGTCGTTCCAAGAGTTGAAAGTTAGATTAACCACCGCTCCGATTTTGATTATCCCGAAGAGAGGTTTGGGTTATGCGGTTATTGTGATGCCTCACGAGAGGGTTTGGGTTGTGTGTTGATGCAAGAGGGGAAAGTGGTAGCCTATGGCTCACATCAGTTGAAAATACACGAGAGAAATTACCCTACACATGACCTAGAGTTAGCAGCTGTAATCTTTGCCTTGAAGATTTGCAGGCATTATCTGTACGGTGAGAGATTCGAGGTATTCTCGGATCATAAGAGTTTGAAGTATCTGTTTACACAGAGAGACTTGAATTTGAGGCAGAGGAGGTGGATGGAGTTCATTGAGGATTATGACTTCGAGTTGCACTATCACCCGGGGAAGGCCAATGTTGTGGCCGATGCCCTTAGTAGGAAATCCATTAGTGATGTAGCTTGTATAGCCATCCGGGAGTGGGAGATGTTGGGTGCACTAGGCGAGTTTGATTTGCTTCTGGGCGAATCCGTTGAAGCTGCGACCTTGTTTACTATTGTTGCGCAGCCTACACTTATGACTCGAGTGTTAGAGGCACAGAGAGGTGACCTTGAGGTAGAATCCCTTCGAGAGAAAATCTCCAGTGGGAAGGTTGAGAAGGGTTTGACTGTGTATCCCGACCAAAGTGTGAGATACCGAGACCGTCTGTTTGTACTGGAGTCTTTCCGAGAGGAGGCACTCCGAGAGTTTCATCATTCACGCCTTGCGGTGCATTCGGGAGGCACCAAGATGTATCGTGATTTGAGTCCCCAGTTTTGGTGGCGGGGAATGAAGAAAGATGTGGCAGTTTGTGTGTCTAAGTGCCTTACTTGTCAACAAGTGAAGGCCGAGCATCAGAGGCTAACGAGTTTGTTACAACCCTTGCCTATTTCCGAGTGAAAGTGGGAGCATGTCACTATGGACTTCGTTGTAGGTCTTCCGAGGACTCAACGGGGTAGTGATGCTATTTGGGTGGTTATAGACTGGTTAACTAAGTCGACGCACTTTATTCCTATGCGCGTAAGAGACTCGGTAGATCATCTTGCCGACTTGTATATTCGGGACATAGTGAGGTTGCACGGGATCCCAGTGTCAATCGTCTCAGATAGAGATCCACGTTTTACTGCTAGGTTATGGCAGAGTTTGCAGAGTGCTTTGGGCACTAAATTGACCTTTAGCATGGTTTATCATCCTCAGACTGACGGGCAGTCCGAGCGTACTATTCAGATCCTTGAGGATATGCTTCAAGGTTGTGTCCTTGACTTTAGTGGGACGTGGGAGAGGCACTTGCCCTTGGTGGAGTTTGCCTACAACAACAGTTTCCAGTCGAGTATCGGTATGGCACCGTTTGAGGCCTTGTATGGCTGACCATGTAGGTCTCTAGTTTGTTGGGCCGAGGTGGGTGATGCACCTTTGTTGGGCCTGGAGTTGGTAAGGGAAGTGACAAGAGAAAGTTGAACTTATCCGTATGAGGCTTGTTACAGCCTAGAGTCGCCAAAAGAGTTATGCCGACCGTAGGAGGAGGCTTTTGGCCTTTGAGGCGGGTGATCATGTCTTTCTAAAGATATCACCTAGGCGGGGTTTGATGAGGTTTGGGAAGAGTGGGAAGTTGTCCCCTCGGTTTATTGGTCCCTTTGAGATCCTTGAGAGGATTTGGGAGGTTGCTTACCGTTTGACTTTGCCCGCGCAGTTGTCCGGGGTGCATGACGTGTTTCGTGTTAGCATGCTTCGGAAGTTACGAGCACTACTACAAAAAATTAGTTAAATATCACCACTTTTGACAAAAAAAAAGATCTCACTTTTATTGAAAGTGTGATAAAAAAAATTAGATTGATATTTTTAATCACACTTAATTTGATTGAGTGTGATAATATTTATTTTTTTATGTCACTTTCAATTAAGTGTGATTTATATATATATATTTTTAATCACACCTTCTAATTAAAGTGTGATTTATATATACACTACTACTTTTTAATCACACTTTTTAAACAAGTGTGATTATATATATATTTTTTAATCACACATTCTAATTAAAGTGTGATTATTTATATATTTTTTATCACACTTCTAATTAAAGTGTGATTATATTATACTACTACTACTTTTTAATCACACTTTTAATAGGTGTGATTATATAGATATTTTTTAAACCACACATTCTAATTAAAGTGTGATTATTATATATTTTTAATCACACCTTCTAATTAAAGTGTGATTATATATACACTACTACTTTTTAATCACACTTTTTAAAATAGGTGTGATTATATAGATATTTTTTAACCACACATTCTAATTAAAGTGTGACTATTTATATATTTTTTAATCACACCTTCTAATTAAAGTGTGATTATATATACACTACTACTTTTTAATCACACTTTTAAATAAGTGCTGATTTATATATATTTTTAATCACACATTTTAATTAAAGTGTGATTATATATACATTACTACTTTTTTAATCACACTCCTAAATAGGTGTGATTGTATAAAATATTTCAATTTGATTTTATATTAAAAGTATACAATTCCCAAATCCGCGCCTCTAAGAATACCCATGAATGATAGAGATGACTCACTACTAGAAAATGAGGCTTTAGACACGGAACTTTTTCACCCATTTTTTTTCATCTTTCTATCTCTCTGTCTCTGTCTCTGTCTCTCTTCTCTCTCTCTCTCTTCACACTCTCACTCATCACTCTTCTCTGTCTGTCTGTCTGTCTCTCTTTCTCTCTGTCTATCTCTCTCTGTCTCTCTTTTCTATCTCTCTTCTCGTTATCTCTCTTGCTCATCTCTCTCTCGTTTATCTTCTTTTCGCTCTTTTTTTCTCTCCCTCTCTCTTTGTCTATATCTTTTCACCTATTTTTTCATCTTCCTCTCTCTCTTCTCTTTTCTTCTCTCACTCATCACTCTTTTCTTTCTGTCTATCTGTCTCTCTCTCTCTCTGTGTCTCTCACTCATCTATCTCTTCTCTCATCTCTTTTCTCTCTCTGTCTCTTTCGTTCATCTCTCATCTCTCTATCTCTCTCATATTTCTCTGTCTCTCTCGCTCATCTCTCTTCTCTCTCTCTCTCGTTCATCTCTCTTCTCTCTATCTTTTTTCTGTCTCTCACTCTCTATCTTTTTGTCCCTCTCTCTCTCTTCTCTTTCTCTCTCTCTTTCTCTCCCACTATGTTCGCGTTGCTCACTCTCTCCCTTCTGTCTTCTCTATTTACTGAGCTCCCTCTCGATTTATCTATCCACTATAAGAAAATGCACTTTTAGCGACCATTTTGTCTCTCTCTTGCTCATCACTCTGTCTTTGTCTCTCTCTCTCTCTTATTAATCACACCTTATAATTAACATGTGATTAAAGATCAACTAAGAAAAATTAAAAATATCTCACTTTTATTAAAAGTGTGATTAAAAAAATTAAAATGATTTTTAAGCACACTTAATGTAATGAGTGAGATAATATTTTTTTTAATCACACAATTTAAATAAGTGTGATTATATATATATATTCTAATTCAAAGTAATTGTAAATACATTCACTACAAGAAATTGCACTTTTGGTGACTACTTTTGGCGACGACGTCAATTTTTCATCGCTAAAAGTATATTTTTGGCGATACAGAGATCAATTTCGTTGGTAAAAGTATACCTTTACCGACGCAATTTGTTGCCGTCGCTAAAAAGACATAACATTATTTTAGTGCCAAATTTTTTTGTTGGCTCCAAAATTTCAAAACTTTTATCTACGAGGCTTATGTTTTAGCAACACAATGAGTGTTGCTATTAGTGTGCTTATTTTTGGCGATGACAAGTTGGCGTGGGCAGAGAGTTAACCATTTAGTGACGATGACACTATTCGTCGGTAAAAGTTTTGCCAGTGGAATGATGTGATTTAGTGATTTGTGTTTTTGATTATAATTTTTGAAAGAGTATTAAATATTTTATTTACTGAATTGTAAAATTAAAATGATCATTGAATTAGGTCACAAAATGAACCCATTGAGTCCAAACACACTCTTAAGTTGAGATGACTAATTTGAGATAATTTAAACTTTTTCAAAGAATATGGTTAGATTATCAATTTCAATATGTTTGTTTTTATTTTCAGAAACTAGTTTCAAATATGTTTTTCCTAAAAAACTAAAAACAAATTGGGTTGAAAAAAAAAATACTTATTATTTTTGTATATTTTTATCTTTTAGGTCATAAATACTTTTTAAAATTTTAAAAATATAATTTTGATTTTTATTGCTCTCAAATTATTTTTAATTTTTTTTAAAAACAAATCTAAAAATTGTTTTGATTTTTTTTTTTTTTGGGGTGATCTGTTGATCGGGCGGTGGACATTTTCCTTTTAAAATTTCCTCATTTTTTTTCCCTCATCAAATCTCTCCAAATCAATCTCCACGATTTCACTCACTACAACAAAACTGACTTTTTACGGCACCACATCAACGGTATACAATAAATGCATGTCGTAGTGTCTCACTTTTACGATTTGCTTTTTTTACACGTTGTAAATACTTTTCTAATCACGGCGTGTCTATTGCGTAGGCCGTAAATAATAATAATAATGATTTTTTTACATATTACAATACACGACGTAAATAATAAAACTTTCTACGATATGCATATAGCATGCCGTTAATACATCAATTATATACGCCGCACATACACCAATCATAAAAAGTAAATACTTTATACGACGCTCACAACGTCTGTCATTAAAAATATTACACTTTCTATAATACACACATTGCCTATTGTTAAAAGTATTATATTTTTACAACCCACAATCCATGTCGTGAACTGTATGATAAAAAACAAAGAGGCGCCAAAATGAAATTTGGGGCGCCAATCTCTGATGATGATGATGCCGAATCAATTTATTTTCCCCTAAAATCGAAGGTATCTATCGTCGTCTCACGCTTCTCTTCTCTTCTTGGTTGCGTATCTGAAATCCCTAATTCATTCTCACTCCCAACCCAGTCCTACCCTAGTATCTTACACTTCTCTCTCTCTTTCAGCGGCTGCAACACCATGTGCATTACCCCATATGGCGACATGGTGGCGCCGCCCTATTTCAACCACAACAATGGCCTCTCTCACCCCTGGCATCCTCTCCAAAATCTCAGCAACACTGTCGCCGGAGGGTATCGACAAGAAAGTGGGTGTGAAAGGAGAGATTGAGGGTTCGGGAAAGGATGGGTTAGAGAGAGAGAGAGAGTCTGCCTTCTCTCTAGAAATTGCCTAAATTTCTAGGGTTTTCTCATTCAACATTTCGTTGATAATGGCTGATCTCACATCTAATTTACGCAATTTGTCTTCGATGGTTGATGGGTTAGTGACCGAAGGTTCTCCTTCGCCTAAGGGGAGTTCGCACATCGTGAAAGATTTACTGTTTGAGAGGGATTTGTTAACATTGATGGACATCGTGAAGCGAAATGAGGGTAAAAATCAGTCTTCTGCCTCTGAGATCGTTTTGGGTATGAGCCCTAGGGCTTCGATTGGGGTTCAGTCCGAGGTCCCTACTCCTAGTTCCTTTGTCGAAGCTATGGGTGGTCTCTGTTCCGAGATCCGAGACCTTGCTCAGCAACAAAAGCTTTGTTTTGGGGGAGAAGTGGTGTCGAGCCCTGCCGTTGTTCATTCACAGGTATGGCTAAGGATTTATGGGTCAATTGCTTGGGCTGTTTGAAATGCCTGATCATTAGATTTTTCTTAACTAATTCATGCATTGAATTAATTTTACAGCACTGCTACAAATGTTGAGATTGAGTTGCCTGTTCCAGCTGATGCTACCAACGATGCGTTGATCTGGAAAATTAAATCTTTTCCTGGTGGCAAGGTGAGAACCAGTATTTATGATTGATGTTTTATAAGAGAATGGGGTAGGTTACACTTTCACCCTCCTTAATTTTCCCTCTTTCTATACCATGAAAAATAATTACCCTCTCCGCCCCCCCCTAATATTATTACATCAAACATGTACCTATGAGTTTTACAGGATGACATCGTTCAGAGCTGCTATTGGGATTCTGGGCATCCATTTGATTTGAAACGAGAATCTGAGGCAGTACCGCCAGATGTGACACTTCAGTCTATTTTATTTGAGAGCCCTGCTAAGAACAGATGGGCTTGATCTCTTAGTGAATTAGTCAAATATGCTGCTGAGCTTTCCCCGGGCTCTGTTCAGAAAGCAAAGTAAGCTATTTCAAATTCGTTTATATGTTACACATTCTGATGTTTTGCCAAATATTGATGTTCTTTATATATCAATTTTATTTTATTTATTTATTTTCCATAATATGAATAGGAAGTTGTTTATGCAACTTATTGCAGTAAATTCTTAAAGAAATTAATATTGCAAGGTTTTTGTAGAACTTACAGTGTTTTTGCGGTGTTGTGAACTGGATGACTCCCTCTTTCTCAATTTTGTAGCTTTCTGCTACATAAAACCACAAATGTTATAAACATGTTAGCATGTTACTTTGTTGATTTTAGGCAATGTGGGGGAACTTTGGTAAACAGTGTTACTAACGACATGAATTGTCTCCTGGTTGTTGCTCAGGGTTTTAAATATTAGCCATTACGTATCGTATTGGCCGTTACATAATGGGATTTTGGACTTTTGATACCGTTATTCACTAATTTATTGGTCTATATTGTCCAATAATGTTTGACATCAACCGATATATGATCGCATTGCTGATACCGATACATCTCCCGATGTCATTCTTTAAAACCATGAGTCTTGCTCTTCTTGTTTTTTATCCAAAAAGATTATGTGATTTTCAAATTGAAAAATCCCAAACTCTCATTATGAGTTGATCTTTATTTGCAGGATATAGGTCGTTCAGCGTCTTGCTCATATCACACCTATGGAGTTGGGTGGGAAGGCTCATCAGTCACAGGATGCTGACAACAAACTAGATCAGTGGCTTATGTATGCAATGTTTGCATGCTCATGTCCACCAGATAGTAAGGAAACTGGTGGCTTAGCAACAACCAAAGATCTCTTGCATCTGATTTTCCACTCACTAAAATCTGGATCTGAAGCCCACATTGTAAGTACAGACTAACTAGAAACTGGTAATTCTGAGCACAGGATTTAAGTTGTATATTGTTATCAATCACACTGTTCTTGAAGAAGCAAAAGTAAATTGGAAGGGAGAAGTAATTTCAAACCTCAAAGGAGGGCAGGACTGGATTATTATAAAATCTTATTTATCCTTTTTTTTTTCTCCCTCCAATCACAAAGCTATTTTCTTCAATGTTGACAACTTGGTATAAAATTGGTGGAAAAAGCCACGAGGCAGGAAGAAACACTTGAAAGAAACAGATGATAAAAAGCTTAATTGTAGAAATTGTGGGATGGAAATTAGATGCATGCTTGTGTTATATTGTAACTGATAAACGTTATATCAAACATTTCTTAGAATTCAAAATTACCGCTGGCCGATTCGGTAAGTTTGTTTTTGCTTTCTCTTTGCTCTCTCTCTCTTTGCTATTTGCTTTTCTCTCTCTCTCTCTCTCTATGCTTTTGTCTCCCTCACTAAGTTCAATATCTTGTGGAGGACGGTCTTTGATTGTTTGAGGGCACCGTAGAGACATTTTTATAATCTTCACATTTTTGAAATCTTTGCAATATCCATTCATATGGATCTCAGCAGTGTATCACCTTTCTGTGAAGTGAATTCCTAATTATTGACTAGGCATTTGATGAAAGGTAACTGCTGCAAAAAGGCCAAAGAATAGTGCATTAGAAGTTGATCTAGATTTCGAGCACAATGTGAAACCTGCCCCTGTAATCACAAAGGTATGATTAGCTAGAGTTTGGTTCATTTATACATACAGACAAGCTTCAAAGAAGTCGAGCTGCAACTATTCATGAGCAGTTTGGTTCACTTGCAGCCCTACCCTAGTCAAACAGATAATAGTTTGCCAATAATACTCACTGCCAAGAGTCACTTACAAATATAAGATGTTATTTGTGATTTCTAATTTATGTTGTGGAAAACTGTATTATTTGCTGTCACAGGAGTTCTGAAGTATGCTATCATGAAAAACACTTTCTTCAATGAAAAGTAGCACAATGCCCCAAACTTTAGTAGAATTCCTGGACATTACTATTTTACCTTGTCATTCCTGTTATGGTACACTTCTATGAATCCTATTGTTTTATCATTTTGTTCAAATGTTATTTTATTTTCTTACTTGTGATATTCACTATTAGTGTTGCTCAAGCATTGTTGATTGTTACTATACCAGCTTGTTATGGTATACATCTATGAATCCCCTTGTTTTATCATTTTGTTCAAATGTTATTTTATTTTCTTACTTGTGATATTCACTATTAGTGTTGCTCAAGCATTGTTGATTGTTACTATACCAGCTTGTTATGGTATACATCTATGAATCCCCTTGTTTTATCATTTTGTTCAAATGTTATTTTATTTTCTTACTTGTGATATTCACTATTAGTGTTGCTCAAGCATTGTTGATTGTTACTATACCAGCTTGTTATGGTATACATCTATGAATCCCCTTGTTTTATCATTTTGTTCAAATGTTATTTTATTTTCTTACTTGTGATATTCACTATTAGTGTTGCTCAAGCATTGTTGATTGTTACTATACCAGCTTGTTATGGTATACATCTATGAATCCCCTTGTTTTATCATTTTGTTCAAATGTTATTTTATTTTCTTACTTGTGATATTCACTATTAGTGTTGCTCAAGCATTGTTGATTGTTACTATACCAGCTTGTTATGGTATACATCTATGAATCCCCTTGTTTTATCATTTTGTTCAAATGTTATTTTATTTTCTTACTTGTGATATTCACTATTAGTGTTGCTCAAGCATTGTTGATTGTTACTATACCAGCTTGTTATGGTATACATCTATGAATCCCCTTGTTTTATCATTTTGTTCAAATGTTATTTTATTTTCTTACTTGTGATATTCACTATTAGTGTTGCTCAAGCATTGTTGATTGTTACTATACCAGCTTGTTATGGTATACATCTATGAATCCCCTTGTTTTATCATTTTGTTCAAATGTTATTTTATTTTCTTACTTGTGATATTCACTATTAGTGTTGCTCAAGCATTGTTGATTGTTACTATACCAGCTTGTTATGGTATACATCTATGAATCCCCTTGTTTTATCATTTTGTTCAAATGTTATTTTCTTTTCTTACTTGTGATACTCACTATTAGTGTTGCTCAAGCATTGTTGATTGTTACTATACCAGCTTGTTATGGTATACATCTATGAATCCCCTTGTTTTATCATTTTGTTCAAATGTTATTTTCTTTTCTTACTTGTGATACTCACTATTAGTGTTGCTCAAGCATTGTTGATTGTTACTATACCAGCTTGTTATGGTATACATCTATGAATCCCCTTGTTTTATCATTTTGTTCAAATGTTATTTTCTTTTCTTACTTGTGATACTCACTATTAGTGTTGCTCAAGCATTGTTGATTGTTACTATACCAGCTTGTTATGGTATACATCTATGAATCCCCTTGTTTTATCATTTTGTTCAAATGTTATTTTCTTTTCTTACTTGTGATACTCACTATTAGTGTTGCTCAAGCATTGTTGATTGTTACTATACCAGCTTGTTATGGTATACATCTATGAATCCCCTTGTTTTATCATTTTGTTCAAATGTTATTTTCTTTTCTTACTTGTGATACTCACTATTAGTGTTGCTCAAGCATTGTTGATTGTTACTATACCAGCTTGTTATGGTATACATCTATGAATCCCCTTGTTTTATCATTTTGTTCAAATGTTATTTTCTTTTCTTACTTGTGATACTCACTATTAGTGTTGCTCAAGCATTGTTGATTGTTACTATACCAGCTTGTTATGGTATACATCTATGAATCCCCTTGTTTTATCATTTTGTTCAAATGTTATTTTCTTTTCTTACTTGTGATACTCACTATTAGTGTTGCTCAAGCATTGTTGATTGTTACTATACCAGCTTGTTATGGTATACATCTATGAATCCCCTTGTTTTATCATTTTGTTCAAATGTTATTTTCTTTTCTTACTTGTGATACTCACTATTAGTGTTGCTCAAGCATTGTTGATTGTTACTATACCAGCTTGTTATGGTATACATCTATGAATCCCCTTGTTTTATCATTTTGTTCAAATGTTATTTTCTTTTCTTACTTGTGATACTCACTATTAGTGTTGCTCAAGCATTGTTGATTGTTACTATACCAGCTTGTTATGGTATACATCTATGAATCCCCTTGTTTTATCATTTTGTTCAAATGTTATTTTCTTTTCTTACTTGTGATACTCACTATTAGTGTTGCTCAAGCATTGTTGATTGTTACTATACCAGCTTGAAAAGTCTGGTTCTCAATGAAGATCTGGAAGGACAAATTAAGGGTCAATATGAAAAGTGAGTGTCATTTCATGCATATGTTTTATGTTGCAAATATTTGATCATGAATTACCATTGTAATTATAACATATACATTTTAATCATGATAGAATTTAAACATATTAAGTTGCATTTTCAATTATTTGACTTGTATTATCGAAGTGATTGAGTCGTTGCTCTTTGAAATTCTAGATGTACTCTCCATTATGTTGGTAGCATTAGCAATGATTAATTCCTAAAAATGAAGTGGTTATATATATTTTTCTTTCGGACTCCTCTTTCCTTGAGCTATGTTATACGATTCTTTAGATTTATTCCATTTTCATAATGTATTTTTTGATTGTATTTTTTTATTCTAGCGGTTTCTGAATTAATTTGTGTTTTTATTTTTCACTTTTGTTCCACAAGTTTGGTCATAAAAGAGAGATCTTCATTTTACAATTTCAACTAGTGTTTTTGGTGTCTTGTATCAAATAAAATGAACTTGAGATTTCAATGACATTGTTTGGTATTGTTTGGTTTTGCTACTTTGGAATTTGATTTTCATAATTTTGCTTATGTTTGGTGTAATATGGAATGAAATGGACTATAATAACAATAATTGCTTTAATTTTGCTTATGTTTGGTGTTTCATAATTTTGTGTTTTAGGCATATATAAGGAAACTTTGTTCATAAGGTTTGATAGAACTAGAGTTTGTCATAGTTTTATGTATATCATTTCACACCTAGATTCAATTAGCAAAGATTCTGAAGAAGCAAAAAAATAGCAAGGGGAGTTTAATGTGTATTTTGCTGGGAAATAATTTGAGAGAAGTGAGTGGATCTATAAGTGACACCGAAAAAATTTGAATGGTGTAAACTGTATTGTTTTAGACTAGCACAATACATGATCTATAAGTGAGTGGATGTATACATATTACCCCTACTCTCTTTGTTGTGTCGTGCTTAGTATCTAATCTTTTATTAAATGTCTTGCTTCTCAAATAATATTGTCATTTTCTACAAGTGCATATCTTGAGTTTTAGATCACTTTTTTGTTTTATTATTAAATTATTCTAGCTTAAGAATTGCACTTTTGGCAACTACTTTTGGCGACGACGTCAATTTTTCATCGCCAAAAGTATATTTTTGGCGACACAGTGATCAATTTCGTTGGTAAAAGTATACTTTTACCAACGCAATTTGCTATCGTCGCTAAAAAAGCATAACATTCTTTTAGCGCCAAAATTTTTGGTTGGCGCCAAAATTTCAGAACTTTTAGCTACGACGCTTATGTTTTAGCAACACAATGAGCGTTGCTATTAGTGTGCATACTTTTGGCGACGACAAGTTGGCGTGGGCAAAGAGTTAACCATTTAGCGACGATAACACTATTCGTCGGTAAAAGTTTTGCTAGTGGAATGATGTGATATAGTGGTGGTTTGTTGTCGCGGGGCCTATATTTTCCACTATAGTTCTCATTTGTTTGAGATATCTATGTAATGAGAAATGCCTCATGAAACAAGAATTCCACCATATCAGCCAACCATTGGCCCCATAGGGGTAAAAAATTGCCGGAAATTGGCCTTCTAATAGGGGGGTAGGGCACCGAATATATGGTTGTGATTTAAAATATAGTATATAGTGTGTATTACATTATTCAAATGCGCGTGCAAAAATAATATTGATTATTCTTTAAATGTCAAATTTTTTTTTTTATTACAGGTTTTATTAGTTATTAATCACACTTAAAAGGTGTGATCTAAATGTTTTTAGTCACACTTAAAAGGTGTGATCTAAAGTTTTTAATCACACTTAAAATGTGTGATCTAAATGTTTTTAACCACACTTAAAAGGTGTGATCTAAAGTTTTTAATCATACTTAAAAGGTGTGATCTAAAGTTTTTAATCACACTTAAAAGGTGTGATCTAAATATTTTTAACCACACTTAAAAGGTGTGATCTAAAGTTTTTAATCACACTTAAAATGTGTGAACTAAAGTTTTTAATCACACTTAAAATGTGTGATCTAAAGTTTTTAATCACACTTAAAAGGTGTGATCTAAATGTTTTTAATCACACTTAAAAGATGTGATGAAAGCATTTTTTAATGACACTTAAAAAGTGTGATTAAAAATGACCATTTTTAATCACACTCCTAAAGACCACACTTTAATAAAACTTAAAAGGTGTGATTAAAAAACATACATCACACCAAAAAAGCGTGATCTTTATCTATATTTGTAGTAGTGGAGTCGGATCCGTCCCATGTGTTGGATTGAACCGACTTAGAGGTAGACGAGGATGCCTCGTATGAGGAGAGACCGGTACGGGTCTTGGATAGGCGGGATCAAGTCTTGTGAGACAAGACCATTCCATTGGTTAAGGTTTTGTGAAAACATCACAGAGTGGAAGAAGAAACTTGGGAACATGAGTTTGAGGTCCGTGAGAAATATCCGGACTTGTTTGTTGATGTTTAATCATGTATTGTGAATTTCGTTGTATTAATAAACTTTAAGAGCATTGAATATGTCTTAAGTTGTAAGACATATTTTTTT